TCTTCCCCTCCGCTGCTGTAAACGTGCGTATAGTTCGACTGGTCTGCCGCGACGGGGCGCTCAAATCAATGGAAAAAAAGCGACACACTCTCTACCATAGGCGCTGGCAATCTCCCTTCTAATCTCTGCTACGGCTATAAGTGACAATGGTATACGGTAATGTGGACTTACTTTTGTGACAACATATCCATCACACTGACGTCAGGAGATCATGAATACAACATTTGTGTCAATATGACGCCATTTTTATCTTAGCTAGAGTACGCCATCTATGCTGAGTTTGCGAACCGTAGTGACCTCATTCTAAGCTTATCGGAACGCTAAAGTGTATTTAAGGGCTCGGGCACATGGAACCGCGTAAAGCGTAAAGCGTATCGCGTAAAAGTAAGGAGGGTTAGGTATACGCCAATTTGTGGTCATATAGAAAAGGCGTAAAAGCCTCACGTATTGCGTAAGTGTGAAGTAGAGGGGAGTTGACCAATCTACTGTCTTGTCAACAAAAAAAACTTTCGAAGTTCTCAACGCCAGTGAATTCTAACCAGCGTACATGTCAAAAAAAAAAGTTTTTAAGTATATACTTCTTTTTTTCTTTTTATTTGAGAGCCGTTAATACATTTCATACAGCTTAATCATTACACTTTTCACTTTTTCTTTGCGATATTGGGTCATTGCGTAGGTCGTATAGACTTTCCACAATTTGCCCAAAGTTCTTACGATTTATTTTTAATCCATGTCAGAAATTCGATTAATTATACAATTTGTGATGTATTGGTATGCTTATGAGCTGCTATTACTATGTGTGCGTAAGGAAGAACCGAGCGAGGGATTGTAAAACGAAGCCAGAGTATGGCCGACTGCGAGACCGATCGCACGTATCAAATGTAAGGCCTAGAGTATGCCAAGTATACCTCGCACGCGCCTGTAGTCGATCTGTTTCCCACCTTTATTAATAAACTTATTAATACAATAGCTCTCTTTATTTATTCAAACATAACACAATTAATACTGTAATTGTTGTTGTTGACATTACAGCTGACTGTAATTACAGTTTGCATACTTTATTCACGCTATACGCGAAAAAATTTGTCATCGCGCACACATGGGTACAAAAATACGGGCGTAACTTTATTTTTGCCATGAGTGCGAGCGAGACAGCATGTGCAAAGCCAACGAAATATTCGCTGTGACTGGTTTAACAACACTTACGCGCGTATTTTTTACTCCCATGTGCGCGATGACAAATTTTTTCGTGTAAAGCGTACCTTACCTAACTTTCCCTGATCCTATAATTTTACGCGATACGCGATACGCTTTACACTTTACGCGGTTCTATGTGCCCGAGCCCTTACTTTAGTAGTAGGACTAAGGAGCGCCTAAATTTGAAATATAATATTAATAAATAAACTTAATGCTATTTAGAGAAGTATCGTAGTTGCTTAAACCTATACATTTATTTTTTTACATTTCTTTCTTGTTTCTGATTTAACGTGTTTTTATATTTATGTACGTTAAGAAGAAAAAAATGTACCCTTATTGTTAAATGGTAACCTAGCGGTTACAGTATATGACGCACTTCACTCGCTTGATTAACTCGGTACACGGATTTTGTACCTTGGAACGAATATTTTCATAACAAATCGCATAATTTTCAAAATTTCCAGCTTAAGGAATACGTGTATTACTGTGTAATATACTTTATAATTCATTACTAAAATATGTATAAGGAGATGTGCATGTTGTCATGTGTATTATCACGACTCACATAATTTTATAACTGCCATAATTCAGATTACTTATTTCAAAAAAACAATAAATATTTTGGATAGCTACTAATTTATTTCAGATCTTAAGTAAAAATATAATGAATAGTTTTAAATTTTCACTTCTGTCGCCAGTCCCATGACTGCCCACTGGTTTTTTTTTATTAACACTTAAGTGCACCAATATGGCTTTAGTTCTAGAACTATATTGCAGGACTGAAACCTCAATGTTGCAAGAAATTTAACTAATAATTTTCGGATTAAATTGAAAGTTGAAAATGTTTTAAAGTAAAACATATATACTAACTTTTTTATGTTTAGTGTTCTTGTGCTACTAAATATTGTGTTGTAGTTGTTTACTAAACACATGTAAAATAGTCCATGATTAACTTTATAGACCCAAGCTGGGTAAACCTCTAAAAATTCCTGACCAAATCCAGGTCAAGCCTTTATCAAGGAGTTGGAAACCTAAGGCCAAGTGTATGCATTTACAACCCGATCAGTTACTATACACAAAAATTTTCTTATACAGTACCACAGAATTTTGAAGTACTTTCTATTCAGGATCTATAATAAGTCATGTATAATCCTGTAATTCTTCTATAACAAAGATCGCAGAAAGATCTTTACGTGAAAGATAATTCTGAAACAATGGTATGAGTCTATTAAAAATTTTGTTAATTATTTAAAGTTTGAGAAAATTCATTAGATTATAAATAAAATATTATTTAGTTAAATTAACTTTTTATTCAAACATTTAAGAAATTGTTGCAAGCCTATATTCGGAAACACGTAAAAATTGATATTTTATGACTAGGGATGTAGTCAAGTGATTTGTATTTTGAATGCTTTACACATTTATTCTTCTTCAAAATTCCTGATTCCTTGTAGATCTCTTAGGCCGATTAAATACATTTTAATATGAGCATTCGTTTTTGCAATTTCGTTTCTCAAGTTGTTGACTTGTCTTTCAATTATTTTTACTCTTACTTCAATAACTTCAAGTGCTTCACACAATGTAAATTCTACGTATAATCCTAAGCCAACATCAAGCAAAATATAAGATACATCTTCGACTTTAGCCTGCACAAAAAAACCATCGCCCAAATCGATTTTCGACTTAAATCCTTCTTTTTCAGCACCAATGTTTTCGAGAGAGCAAATGACACTTTTGAGCTGAAGAAATTCAGTAATGTCAGTGGTTTTTTTATCCAATTTTTTTTCTAACTCTAACAAATCTTCTTTTAATACATCATTAACAAATGCTTCATATTGCAATAGCTTGCTTGTAATCTCTGCCTTCATTGTAGATGACATAAATCTGAAAAATAATGTAACCTGTTCTATTCTTGTATGCAGAAGCAATATAAAGAAAATAGAAAGGTGAGGTTAATAAGAAGCGTGTGAGTAACTTACCCTACAAAAAAGGTCAAGCATATGAATGTGTTAAGTTTTTATTTTTTTTATTTTTTATTTTTAAATACATAAAAATTGATATTGGAATGGAACGTTGTGCTTGCTGTAGACCTAAGGGTGAGAGATTATGTGGAGTCTGGCAGACTGGCAATCTGCAGACTAGCTCCCATTACAGCCCACTAGGGTGAGAGAGATCCGATCATGTGATCGAACGAATTGAGAGCGTGGTGGCTCTGTCGGCTATAGGTGACGGGCGCTCGCTTTTCAGAGATGGGCATGTGACTGCAGCCATAGACACATAAGAAAAATAGACTGCTCGTTCTTATGTACGGCGCTGAAGCACAAGTAGAAGGAGACAACGTCGAAAGTTGATATCTGTTTCTCTTGCACATTCCCACCTTTAGCAATGTGCGAGAGAGAGAGAGAGAGAGAGATCTCCACGTTCGATGTTGTGTCTTTTTCTACTTGTGCTTCAGTGCCGTACATAAGAACGAGCAGTCTATTTTTCTTCTATGTCTATGACTGTAGCCTTCTGGGGGCTAGTCTGCACTCATCGACCCTATCCCATTGTCCCACGTAAACATTATTTTTGTAAAATATTTAATTACATTCAAGTAGAGACATACAAGAAATATAGACTACTCGTTCTTATTCACATTCACGGCGCTGAAGCACAAGTACAAAGAGACATAACGTGGAACGTGGATACTTGTCTCTCTCCAACATGGCCAACGGTGGAGATGTTGCATTTACCTGATTTAGTTTATTGACTCCCCCCGTTGTCAATGTGCAAGAAAGACAGTTACTTACGCTCAATGATGTGTCTCTACTCGTGCCTCAGCGGCGTGCACAGAAATGAGCAGTCTGTTTTTCTTATACGTCTATGCAGCAGATAGTGAAATGAGAAGCGAGTGCGAGGACCATATAGTTTTTTTTTTTTTTTTTTTTTTTTTTTCTATATTACAGTGTTTACGCTTGGCTCTCTTGTAAAGGCACTACTTAGGGCACTTAGCACTTGGGGTTGGGAAGGAATTGGAAGGGAGGAGGACCCTATAACAACTGCTCTGCATTCGCCCATGACAATTGTTGTGTGGATCAGGAAAACACCGGGAAATCTCCCGTAGAAAAAACCTGATACAGAACAGCCCGGTGATTCTACCTCATTTCTGACCTGGTGTCTAAGCTGCAGACTTGGACAACGGGGCAGAAAATTGGCACACCTCGTGCTCACAATGTCGAAGAGACAGAGAAACAGTCAATCAACCCACGAAGTGAACAGCAGAAGCAGAGGCGAAACGGCAAGACTTGAACGGTCACCCATCCAAGTACTAACCACGCTAAATGCTGCTTGACCTCGGTGATCGACGGGACTGCAACCAGCAACTCTCCATGTGTTCCAGTAGCGCTCTCCGACAACTTACCGACAACTTAAACATGACGCAAGATATCGTAAGACATAATTAAGTTGTCGGTAAGTTGTCGGAGAGCGTTACTGGAACACACCCTCTACCGCTCAGCCATCGTCCCATCGTGATGTCGTTCATATATACAGTTGTACAACTACAGCGTTGCTAAACGGTGTAAGGTATTGGCTATGAAACGCCACTACTAGCGTCGAAGATGAAACTAAAACCGACGCCAACACCATTAGTACAACTATATGTGGTATTCGACTTTCATTCGCTATCTGCTAAAACTTAAATCAAACAGCACAAATATTTTACAAAAATTATGCCCACTTTAGATTACCTGTATGTCTTACACTGTGCACTGTACGTATGGTTGTACTACCAATGTTGGCAAAAACTAGTATAATACAAGTAAAAGTAATAGTAGATAATATAGAAATTCGTTTATGTGTAGAAGGTCAGGCGAAGCCTATTGGCATTATGCCTCTACCACGTGACCTCAGTATATATATGACTAATGTAGAGGGAAAATAACACAGGTCTTATAGGAGAAATCTTGTTTTTATTTTTTTTCGCACTTAAAAAGATATTGAGCTTAAAAAGGTTGTTAATTCCATATTACTGACATAATAAGAGTTACGTAGTTATTTTTTTCCTTTGGTGAATTCGTTTATGAAGGTTGAAACAGCGTTTTGAACGTATACGGAGAGCCGTTTAACCCTACTGCTGCTGATGCTCAGAGATAAACAAACAGCTCAAAGTGGGGTTGACGGCACTCCGTATACGTTCAAAACGCTGTTTCAACCTTCATTTACGAATTCACCAAAGGAAAAAAATAACTACGTAACTCTCATTATGCCAGTAATATGGAATTAACAACCTTTTTAAGCTCAATATCTTTTGAAGTGCGAAAAAAAATAAAAACAAGATTCCTCCTATAAGACCTGTGTTATTTTCCCTCTACATTAGTCATTTATATACTGAGGTCACGTGGTAGAGGCATAATGCCAATAGGCTAGGCCTAACTTTGCTTTCACTCTAGATGATGACAGGGTCATAAGTACTTCAGAACTTTACTTAGCATATGTATACTCAATACGATGACAATAAATAAATTAAATTAAAAATTAAATTGAGGCCTGAGCTTCTATACATTACAAGATCGGACATGTTTTATGTATTCTCTGGTAATAGTGTCTCGTTCACTTTAAAAAAAATTGATTTACGTCCCAAGCCACTGAAATAATCCCGCTCAAAAATGTGTACAGACTTTCGTCATTTTTTAGTGCACTTAATGATATAAGGTTGCTTTTACAGTTTTTTACATAGAATTTTTTCCCTATTTTAATTAATTTTGATTCGAATCAATAAATACAAATTTTTATGTTATCTTACAATTGCATTCTTCACTTTTATTTCTACCTTTCAGTGTTTACTGGCTTCAGCAGAGATTAGTAGAGAGATTGCTGACAGCAATGCTACGGCGCGAGTTCACTTTTGGCCACTGTTTCAAGCGCCCCGTCGCGGCCAAGCGGTCGAACCAGGCACACATATTTTTTTTTTTATTTGAGAAGCGTGGAGGGGGTATACCGAGTGTGTGCCTACAGATTCGCGTGGAAATGGGCATGTAGGCACATACTTCGGAGACGCGTGGAAGGGGTATACTGAATATGTGCCTACGGAGAGAGGAGTGGTGTGCATGGAAATGCCGACTACAGCTATATAACTATATATACCCGCGTATATCATAGCGAAAGAAAGCAACGAGTCTTTCTCGCTATATACTTATACTTACTAACTTCTTAAATAAGGTCTTAGAAATTAAGGGGAAATAGAGAAGAAAAAAAGATTTCACATCTAATATTTGTAAAATAAAAAAACCTATTTTAATTTACAATTCTCTATAACATTTGAAAGTTTAAGAGAGGCTAGCCATATTATTTTTCGAAAATTAAATCATACAAATAAATGTTTACGCAATTGGAACCTCAGACTTTCAAGGCATTTATTTTTTAGTTCTTCTTATACTTTGGATTTTCGTTTAGTCAGAGATTAGTAGAGAGATTGCTGACTGCAATGCTACGGCGCGAGTTCACTTTTGGCCACTGTTTCGAGCGCCCCGTCGCGGCCAAGCGGTCGAACCAGGCACACATATTTTTTTTTTTATTTGAGAAGCGTGGAGGGGGTATACCGAGTGTGTGCCTACAGATTCGCGTGGAAATTAGCATGTAGGCACATACTTCGGAGACGCGTGGAAGGGGTACACTGAATATGTGCCTACGGAGAGAGGAGTGGAGAGATCTCCACGTTCGATGTTGTGTCTCCTTCTACTTGTGCTTTAGTGCCGTACATAAGAACGAGCAGTCTATTTTTCTTCTATGTCTATGACTGTAGCCTTCTGGGGGCTAGTCTGCACTCATCGACCCTATCCCATTGTCCCACGTAAACATTATTTTTGTAAAATATTTAATTACATTCAAGTAGAGACATACAAGAAATANTTATTGCCACAAAAATGTAAATATATTTTCTACTTATTTAAAAATTTTAATTTACATCTTTAAAGATTTGAGAGATAACTGTGAGGGTTAAATAAAAAGCTGATCCCTCACATAATGGATTCTTTGTTTGGCGATTTTGGCTGTTCCAATCTTGATAAATTTTCTGCGTCAGTTTCTTAACGCCTCAAATTGTATTCATTAGATACATTTAAAGTTTTCTTTTCAATATACCCTGTTGCGACTATTAGCACCTATATTACCCTCTCGACTCTAAGCATTCAACCATGAATCACCGATCCTCTCCAAGGTCTGCGCTGGATGAACCTAACAGCTATAAAGGAAAAAAGACTTGAGCCAACGGGAGTCTACAACGGGCAAGCATTACGAACTAATCTCTACTAATCTCTCCATCTTAGATCATCAAAACAACTGAGTCTGCAAAAAAAAGGTGCTTTAGACACCAACGTTTTCGACGTAATATCAGGAGACGTTAAGAAAGAGCACTGCGACTAGCCGCAAAGCTTCGGACTTAGTCATTTTTCTCCCAATCAGTCTGGGGCTTCAACATCAGGCCAGAGAAGATCACCCTGAGGTATCCAGGCAGTCACAATTGTTGTTAACTTTAGTAAAGAAAGAGTTTACTTAAGAAGTTCACCGGTCTTTTTTAGGGCCATCGNCAAAGCTTCGGACTTAGTCATTTTTCTCCCAATCAGTCTGGGGCTTCAACATCAGGCCAGAGAAGATCACCCTGAGGTATCCAGGCAGTCACAATTGTTGTTAACTTTAGTAAAGAAAGAGTTTACTTAAGAAGTTCACCGGTCTTTTTTAGGGCCATCGGACGTTGAACTACCTTGCCAACAAATATATTGGAACTTAACAAAGTTGACAGAAAATAGCCTTTAGGGGTCACAAAAGTCGCAAGAAGATGAATTGGAAGGAAAACTTTAAATGTATCTAATGAATAAAATTTGAGGCGTTAAAAAACTGACGCAGAAAATTTATCAAGATTGGAACAGCCAAAATCGCCAAACAAAGAATCCATTACGTGAGGGATCAGCTTTTCATTTTATCCTCACAGTTATTTCTTAAATCTTTAAAGATCTAAATTAAAATTTTCAAATAAGTAGAAAATATATTTGCATTTTTGTGGCAATGAAAAATGTAGAGATTAAGCTTCAGGACTTTGTTGCTCTGGTAATAAAGTTGTGAGATAAGAGAAAAAAATATTTTAAGTTACATATTTTTTGTGAGTTTTAAATCTTTAGAGCTTTAAAAAATAGCCTTGTTCATAGATTACATGGGAGA